ACTCTGGCAGCAACTAGCTCAGCCTTTTTCCTTTTAATTTTTTTTTCTTTTCATGATGACAGTGGTGAGGCTCTGCCTCCCCTGACTGCACGTCAGTGCTATACTTCGTAGCAGTCTCTTTAGTACCTAAAACTGATTCTTGCAACCTTTTAATATACAGGTGGTCCTTAGCTTACAAACTTTCTTTTATTAAATGTTTGAATTTCCAGTGACACTGAAAAAAAGTATTTTTTTAACTGGTACTCAGACTTGAGACTTGTCACAGCATTCCCCAGGTGCATGGGATCAAACTTTAGGCACCGAGCAGCTGGAATGTATTGACGATGGCTGCAGTGTCCTGGGTCATATGATCACCACTTCTCAGCCAGCTTCCAACAAACAAAGGCAATTAGAGAAACCAGACGCGTCTAACGCGGGGTGTCCAACCTGTGAGTCGTGGCCCACTATCAGTCCGCAGCAGCCTAATTCACAACTGGGTCATGTGAGTGCAGTGGTGGGTTTCAAAATTTTTAAGAACCTCTTCTGTAGGTGTGGCCTGCTTTGTGGGAGTGGCTTGCTGGCCATGTGACTGTGTGGGAGTGGCTTGCTGGCCATGTGACCGGGGGGAGGGAACTGGAACTGGTTCTAAAGGGCACTGCAGATTTGTGGAACCTCTTCTATAGAAGAGGTTAGAACTGGCAGGAACCCACCCCTGTGTGAATGGCTGGCTAGTGTGAGCATGTGTGCACAGGAGCTCGTGGCCCCACTTGCACGAGCATTGTGGGCGCTCAGGACCTCACTCATGCAGGAACTTGGGGCCCCACTCATGCGAATGTCGTGGGTGCTCACGGCCCCAGTTGTGTGAGCACTCAGGGCCTAACTCATGCAGGGCTTGTAGCCCCACTTGTGTGAGCATTGCAAGCACTTGGGGCCTCACTTTCACGGGCATCATGGGTCCTCTCATGTGCAAGTGCTCAGGGCTTAACTTGCGCCAGTGGTGGGTTTCAAAAAACTTTGGAACCTCTTCTGTAGGTGTGGCCTGCTTTCCGGGTCCACTGGTGGAAGCTCTTCTAACCGGTTCGGTAGATTTGACGAACCGGTTCTACCGAATAGGTGCGAACTGGTAGGAACCCACCTCTGACTTGCGCACCCATGTGAGCAATAGATGCTCATGCACACGCATGCACCTGCCCCTCCCACAAAACCATCCTCTCTTTCCTTGTCCCACCCCCACCCCTCGCGCTCCAGGCTGCCAACCTTAAAGTTTGGGGAACTCTGCTCTAACAACCATATGATTCACTTAACTCCTGTGATTCACTTAACTCTGGCAAAATCATTGTAAATTTGGGTACAACTCATTTAATAATCACCTCACTTAGCAACAGGAATTCTGGTCAAAATTGTGGTCATAAGTTGAGGACTGCCTGTAATATTATTGATTTGGGGTACTTAGAGACTCTACCATTATTTTTTTTTTGTTTTCTCTCATTCAAATTCAGACTCTACCTTCTTGCGTACTGAAACTGAATTACGTGCAGGAATGGCAACTTCACAGAACTAATTTGATCAAAATCCCTCACTGCGTTGGTCGCTTTCAGAATCTCATCGTCCTAGATCTATCTCGAAATTCCATTGCAGAAATTCCTAGGGAGATTGGTGAGTGTCACGTCAAAATCCCTCCTTGGGATTGCCTCTTCGGGTTGGGTTCTGAATTAGAGAGTTCCTTGAAATTATGGCAGCACTTAATTTTAAAGGGTCATCTTTGGGAAACAATTTGAAAAATGCCTTCTTGATAAAACAGCGGACGAAAGAAATTGGTAGTGCTATTCTGTTGTTTAACCTTGTTTTTTTGGATTCCTTCAAAACGCATATTGTGCTTTTATAGCGTTAAGAGATGTTTTCACTTTTATTTCAGGAGGTTCCCATGATTATCTTATAAAATTAATGCAACAGTAAAACAGTTGAGTCTTGAAACATTATAAATAACATGTTCTGGAGCATGGGGGCTGCTAGAATAGGAGCTATTTTCTATGTATTAATTTTATTTTTATTTATTTATTTTGTCAAGCATATATATATATATAACATTAGTAATACTAATATTCTTGATGTTTTTTCCTTTCCCTCTAATTTTAACAGTTTGCTTTTTGTAAGTGAATATAAAATCCAGGCTTTCTTTAATCTGTTTTACTCCTATAGGTCAATTGTCAAATCTTCAGGAGTTGATCCTCAGTTATAATAAAATTAAGTTGGTCCCTAAAGAATTAGGCAACTGCGTTGGCTTAGAAAGATTGGAACTGGCCGTAAACAGAGACATCTGTGACCTTCCTCATCAGGTTAGGAAATACCATAGTCTCCTTCTCTATGTTCATAATATGTGGTTTAAATGTTTAAAATGACTTGTAATAAACAAATAAATGACCAGCTAATGAACATTCTTTTTTTTTTTTGGTTCCCTTATGTGAACATACTAGTTTGCCTCATCAGTCGTGCAAAATATATCACTGACATGGAGGCATTAAATGGTGATTTTTCTTCCCTGTAACTTGAAGCAGCTGTGTGTACAGCCACACAACGAGAGATGTCATTGCTGATAAATAACATCACCTGTGTACTCAAATCAAGAGTCTCGCTGAAGTTTCATGCAATAATTTAAATGTAATGGTTACCGCCCTGCTGGTGTTTTGAATTTCTTTACCCAGATCTTAGGTGAGCATGATTAAAAAGCCTTTCAAGGTGTTGGTTATTACCTTTAAAGCCCTGCATGGTTTAGGACCAGCATACCTGCGACACCGCTTACTGCCACACACCTCCCAACGGCCGGTAAGAACCCACAGGGTGGGCCTCCTTCAGATGCCGTCAGCCAGACAATGCCGGTTGGCGGCTCCCCGGAGGA